CATTACTAGTCCACTTTTTTCTCTGCTTTTCATGTGAAAAATGTGCTGGAAGTGTTTAGTTTCATTAGGTTTAGTGAAAGTGGAAAGACTAGAATTTAACAGTGAATGAAATTAGTTTTTCAGTGAAAGAGAGAAACTTGAAGCAGAGTTATGAACCAACCAGTATTTTAATCCTGGGTTTTATAGCAAAATATACTGTACTTATACTGTGCGGATGTTTGATATCAGTGGGGCTTAGTGAGGTAACAGCAAAGTCAAAGTCAAACTATTCTTTACCTGTCAACTGTGCCTGGAGGGTATACTGTGTATCATGCTTTGAATACCATCGCCATGATCCACAAGTTTACAGGTGTCTTAGTTTACATAACTGATAGCAAAAACCCTGCATACTTTACACAGGACTCTTCAGTATTCACATTCTGTCTATGCAAATATCACTCCCCTGTCTCATCTGTATATTTGGAAACCTTTCATATTTGTTTATCTTTCCCAGAATGGGTTCTGTCAGAAGAGGACGCTGACCTTTCAGATCCACCCCAGTGACCCAAAAGCAGCAGCAGCAACCAGTGTGGAAAGATCCCTGACAGACAATACAGTGTCAGACACATGGGTAATGTATAAGCTGCAGAGCGACCGACCTGTGCAATGAGACAGTGACAGAGGGAGAATGTTAACCTGCTGTTTGGCCTCATTTCTCAAACTCTCTGTCATAACCTATTGAGTTAGCTTTTAAATACACCCCAGGAATCTTTTTTATGTCACAACAGTCTGAGAAACAATACCTTCAACCCCCCCCCCCTCACAGTATGTTAGTTCAGCATACTTTTGGGAATATTATTCTCACTCAATTAAGACAGAATTCAGTTTATATCATTCTGGATACACCTGCACTGACACAAAATTGGCAACATGAGTTTTGTGCCTCATAAGAAAAAAGTTTCCTTAGCTGTGGTTTATCATTTTTATTGTTTCATAATTTTGTCATTTAGACAATTCTTAAATTTTGTTGTTATTATCCCACTCTCTTATTTTACGCTCTATTGTTTTATCTTAAAGTAGCTTTTTTTTGGTACAATTGTATGTCACTCTGATTTCTTCTTTCTCTCTGCTAAGTTTAGATATTTTGCCTACCAACACCTCTGAAGCTCAAGTTATATCGTGTTTGTTTAATCCGTACACAAACAGAAATGTGGAAGTGAATACTAAGAGCTGTAGAAAAACTATAAATTGTCACTTTTACATTTCTGTTTGTGCACAGATTAAACAAATAAGATGTAATTAGTGAGGTTTAAAGGTGCTGGGAAGTAGATTTTTTAAAGGGGAACTCTAGCCATTTCTTCGCTGGTTTTTTCACTTTTGTCAATCGATGTTTTCTCAACGAGTTCCCCTAACAAGCTCTTGAGACGTGTATTTCACAACACCGTCGTAAAAACAACTCCACTTGCGGCCCCTCAACTCCCCCCTTTCTACCGCTGGCTGATGTGCCTTTTGTTTGGCCGGTCCAAGCTTTTTCGTGTAGAGCAATATCTACGCGAGGTGGGTTAATACTTAACACTAACCGTTATGAAGGGCGGCATGTGCGTTTATGTGGAATTCCGTAAAGCCATTCATGTTTCTCGGCTCGTTCTCGCTTCTTGGCGATACTTCCTTTTCCAATTTAACCGGGACGGTAGTCAAGCAAAGTTGCAGTTGGTTTTCCGGCCTGGGTCGCAGAGTGGGGGCGCACCATTTTCACCGGAACAGGCTATTTAACCATCCAAATGATTTCTAAACGGGTTTATTAAGCTGAAAAAGTTGCCAAGTTCCCCTTTAACTTTGGACAGAGCTAGGCTAGCTGTTCCCCCCTGCTTCTAGTCTTTGTGCTAAGCTAAGCTAATTGCCTCCTGGCTTGAGCTCCATTATGAACTTACAGTTATGTGAGTGGTATTGATCGTATCATCTAACTGTCCGCAAGAGAGCAAATAATGGTGTGTCCCAAAATGTCAAACTATTCCTTTAAAATTCTGGTAATGTTGTTTTTACTGTTTTTGTATGTCTTGAGACAATCAGTGGTGATAATGCACTTCAAATTAATTATAATTTTACTTGGAGAGATGTGAGTTACTTCAAATATGCCACATTCATGTGTTATTCTGTGATTTATTAAAACTTAAATTAACTTCAAGCTTACTGGATAAAGTTTGAGGAAAATATGAGAACTGTGAAATTGTGATTGTGCAACAAACAAAGACTAAAGCTGACAGTTAATTTTATTTTTTGTAACCATTTCAGTGGTTTGAGTGTTTTTAAAAACAAACCTAATTTTGAGAGTAGAAATTCACATTTTCTGTGTCACAAATTCACCAAATAAAGGCATGAACAATATTTCCTGAGCGTGCCAGACGCTGTAGCTGTTCAGGTGTTTTGAATGCGTTGTCAAACTGGAGTTCAAGCTGTTCCTTCTTTCACCAGAATTTCTCTCTGTGGATTAGTTGGGCAGGTTTGGCAACAGAGGCTGAAACAGCAGCTGCACATCAGCCTCCATATGTCACAGATTCCTATTCCTCCCACTTATTAAGTAAAACTTGGACATTTGAGGTCTGTTGGGACGTGCTGATGATTTGTTCCAAATACTAATGTGGTTTTTTCCATTATAGGTTCAATGTGGCTTATCAGTAAGAAGAAAAGAACAAACTGAAATAAATTCCTTTGATCTTTAGTAATGTCAGAGACTATTTTCATTCTGAAAATAAAATAATTACACAATATCACTGCATTAAAGACATTAAAGTAAAACTGAAGTCTGAATTATCCTCACTTTTAATATAAGGAAACAGATGATATTTTTCTACTTTTCAAAATAGGATAACACGCTTTTTGGACATATTTGTGGAAACGGCATCTAAGCTTAAGTCTCTGTGGGTCTTTTCCAATGGCATCGACTACTTGACAATTCAAGGCAGGTGTTGCCTGGAGAAGCGCTGTCAACTTCCATAGTGCTCTTCTAACTGGAGCCTGTCATATCCCAGTATAGCAAACGCTGATACAAGAAATTATTTCTTTTTTCATCAAGCCCACATGATGTTGGTTATGTACCATTAGCAATTTAAAGAAATAATTCGACAATTTGGGAAACACTCCAGTAACTTCCGAAAACCTCTGCTGGTCCTGTCCAAGGTCCAATAGTGTGACACACAACATAAACATTTGCATGGATTACACAAACAGGACATAGTGTGGTAATTGGTGAGATTTAGGGCCATTTCAAACCAAATGAGGTGCTGTGGTCAGTCCTCCCATTCATTTGAGTGGGGGTAGTCTGTTTAGGCTGCAGCAGTGGGGGCAGCAGGGGACACAACAAAACACTGTAACCTGTGACAGTGACGAAATGGCAATCAGACCATTCAAATTGCTCCAGCCAGCCTGAAATATCGCTGAAACAGGCGCTATCCAGGCACAGTGAATGAGGAGAGGGAGTGCCGGTAGTGAGAAAGCCAGTGAAGAAAAAAAACATTATTTTCCTCTTGTTTCACAGCATTTACATTCTAAAGCACATATAAACATTCCCACACTGCTCAACCACCCTGTAAATAATCGCTGCGGTGCCTGATTTGGTTGGAATCTGGCCTTAGAGGTGCTCATAGGCAGATTCTGTTACCATTGAATGAAGTCAGGCTAGCTGTTTTCCCTTTTTTCCAGTCTGTGTGCTAAGCTAAGCTAACTGGCTCAAGCTGCATATTAATTGTACAATTGTGAGTCCCTAATGAATATAAGAAGTCCTTAGGAATGATAAGTCCCTCAGGAATATGTTTCCGTTGTGAAGGAGAGCTTCTCATTGAACTCATGGCAAGAAAGCAAATAATTACATATCCCAAAATGTAAAATTTGAGACTCTTCGGGCTGTTAAGTTTGCAGTGAACCTGCAAAGAGGAAACAGTTGTGGTGATCAGTAAAT